ACCCCCCCCCCAAATGAGTACAGCAAACGATTCGTTTTTGTTTCCGCGTTTCTGTTTGTTCGTTCATTTGTTTTGTGAAATCAAAGAGGGCTTCGAGGAGAGAATGCAACCGAAAATGAGCGGAAAACAAAACAAATGCTAAACATTACAAAAGGAATAACGAAACGCACCGAAGCCAACTGAAGGCAGCTCTTTCCCAAATACAAATTCCGCAATTCGGTGCGCGCAAAGAGAGTAATTACTACTCTGGACGGGAAAATGTAATTTTCGTTGCTTTTTCGGCTTCCTCTCTCTTTCTTCTCTGTTTACCCCAATTCAACAAACTTGCAACTATGCTTTTGTATAAATCTATATATATATAAAAAAAAAAGGATTTCGTGTTTCCCTTTGAAATCGGAAAAATCTATCGAAATAAAATCGCGCGCAAGCGACAGATGTCCTTTGTTATCTTCTTTTGCTTATGAAATTCAAAAGAGAAGACATTGCGACGTAGAAATCTTTAATCTCTATAGAAAATATCTAAAGGAAAAATGTAAACAAATTAAACCTATTTGAGATATTTAAATAAATGTATATGTTTACGTTTGCTGTTACCGTTTCGCATCCAATTGAAAAACTAAACATTCTCATCTTCGTATTTACGAAGAGAATAACTGAAAAACTGTTAGGTCTATGACATTGGAATCTGCAAAATTGAAAACTTTTGAACGCATAATTCGAGAATATAGTGTATATTATTAACGGAATTGAAATATGCAAATTGTTGCTAAAACTGTTGCGCAGTAGTTGTCAATACAATCGCATGTATACATCCGTACAGTTCGTTTTCTTATTACGTTTCACCGCAGAAAACCGCGGTAATTTCTCGCGCGTTAGAATTTCCAAGCCGTTTTATTTTTAGACGATTCAAAATTGCAAATATTATTTAAGATTATTAACACCTTAGTCACACACAGCTCGTATATTGTTGGAACGCAGCAGTCGAGGTCGCAATCAATCAACAAACGAGAGAGGAAACAATTGCAGAAAAACAAAATAAACATCAATCAATGTTCTTTTTTTTTTTGTTGGTTTTCGTATCGAGTGAAACTTTTGATGCATTTCTCTTCGTTCCTTATTATTGGTCTTATTTCTTTTTTTCGTCGTCTGTCCGCCTCGGGCAAAGAAATTTACTTTCGTTTGGCAGACCAAGAGTGAAACGTCTCAATTAGGCACGTTCAGAATGTGCAGGTGTAGTGTAGTTGTAATATAAGAATATTCCGTTTGACAATTAAAAGCGATTTTTGCGCGGAAAATGTGAAAATCGTGACGGTAACAAGAGTAAATAGAGAATGACCAACTTAGCACTTGCCAAGAGACGTGGGGGACGACGACAGTCGTTCGTCCGTTCGTCAGTTGTCCGTTGTTGTTGTTAGTTGATGGTGCGCGCCTCTTTTTCTCTTTCTCTTTGACTCGATTCCGCCTCTTTCGGGTGCTGCACACGCGATTTCCACCAAACCATACACACACTCCATTCATCACCTACCGCACACACGACGAGCCACCTTCTTCGTCGAGGATTTTAAACCAAAAACGCGCGCGAGATGAGCGTACACTTGAGAAACAATCAAAACTTCCGTAAGTTTTTCCACATATCTTCCTATTACATCAAGCAATCAACGAAACAAAACAGCAACTTTTAAGTTTACAAAATAACTTAAACTTTTTTTGCGTTTCTCAAATCTTACTAAATCATCAACTTTGATCAAACTATTTAACGTTTTGTACGTGTTACATATTCTCTACGAAATGCAAATACGTTTGTTCCCTAATGTACACACTTTACTTTGCACATGCAATGTTTCGAATAAATTTGTTTAGAGCAAAACGGAAACCGAAACATTATTGCTAAACGCCGTTGCGGCAATGTTTTGATAAAAAAAAATTAAGCAATCCTCTTGGACGTCAAGAAAACAATTGCCTAATGTTGCGTTTGCAGATCGACCTGGTTTATTTTGGATGCGAAAGGCGTAAATAAACATACGAGGAGGAACGTGTTCAAAAGAAGTGAAGAGAAGAAAAGTCTCTTCACAGAAATTGGACGTGCGAGAAAACAACAACACGCGACAGGATTAGAGCGTAGCAGCAAATGTGACAACAGCAACATGCAAATCAAGTTGACGTGTGTCATGTCGGGGGCTGCTGAAAAGATTGCAGCGAGAGAGAGAATCAATACAGGCGAAGGGAGTCTCGAAAAACAATCGATTCTGCTCCACATTTCATCTTTCTGAACAAATCAAAACTCACGTTTTACAATCTTTGCATTTTCATCATCGGTCAATCTTTTCGTTTCCTTATAAGATCACAATGTTTTTAAGACATCTTCAAAGTTACAAAACTATGTTTTGAAATAAATTTGAAACTTGGTGCAAGTATTGCAAAACTTTTCTGAGACTAGTTTAAATTGGTCGAATTAAGATCAATTGTGTATGAATGGATTGGGTATAAGTGAAAACGATCAATTTGCGTGAGGCAATCAAATACGTAATAAACGTTGACGATGACGATGGGAGTTTGTTATGGAGCACGAGGACGCAATTTTCCGGTTTCGGAAAATTTAAACTCGTTGTTGTTCGTAAAATATGTTTTTCCTCGTTGTGTATTTGTATTCCAAAGAGGGAGTGCGATTGCGGACATGTGCCGCTACGGCGACGTTTCACGTTCACGGTACAATTAAACGGGAAAAACGACACACCATTGACACAGAAACCATCCGAGTGTGTTGCGTCGTCGTTTCATTCTTTACTTATATCTTTTTCTCTATTTCCGTTTCGACGCAATTTTGCTCTGCTTTCTGTCGTTGAAAATGTAACCGTATTTGCAGAATCTCCGCGAAAGTACGTCGAGAACGAAGTGACCATCCACTACAGGACGCCTGTCCGGCAGGAAGTCAAGGAGGCGCTGAGCGAGGATGAACTTGCCAAGAGGCAGGCGGACGCGATGCGAAAGATCTACGAGGACGAGAGGCGCCGCAAATATCTGCAGGTAATGTTAAGTTCGAATGCATTGTATTCAATGATTGCATTGTGTCGTTCAGGAGCTGCACGACATGAAGAGTCGTCGACACACGGACAACTTCATCCCGTCGCAGAAGTCGCCGATAGCGCTCAACAGGTACGACGACTTCATGGAGGAGCTGTCGCCGAGGATCAAGCCTAGACCGCGATCCCCGGAACCGAGGCTGGTGGCGCGCGCTCTCTACAACTTTGTCGGACAGACGTCCAGGGAGCTCACCTTCAAGAAGGGCGACGTCATCCACATCCGTCGGCAGGTCGACAAGAATTGGTACGAGGGCGAGATCAACGCCATGGTCGGCCTCTTCCCAGCAAACTACGTCGAAGTAAGTTCTGCTTCTCTCCAAACTGAAACAACAATAAGTCACAAATATATAGGCAACACTCTAAAACAAAAATTAACTACTTATTTACCAAACAAATCAATTCAAAATTCAATCTGATTACCATAAAAACCCATAAAAATCATTAAATAGTCGATTAATAGGGTTTTCAAGCAACTATCATCCGTTGAGTGGATTAGATTATCTTAAGAGGCAATGAAGATAAAATTGTTATCAATAAATTACAAAATAAGTACACACATACAGAGAGATTCTGTGAGATTGAATCTCGCTTTCTCTGCAAAGTCGAAACAACATCCGAAGACAATAAACACTTTCTATCGGAATTAGCACCGCGAAGCAAGTGCACAGAGAGCTTCCCAATATATGAGAAAGTTGATGAATGAATTTGATTCGTACTCTATAAAGACATTAGCAACATAGTGCAGCAGCGCGCATTTCTTTGCTATAGTTTTTTTTCTTCCATCAGACGAAAATCGAGTTACCCGTTTCTTTTCGTGCTTCTCCTGTTCGAAGAGTCGCTCGCTTTCAACGTTAACTTGGACGTTGAAAAGGACGACGCGGCTACAAAAGAGACGCTAAAAGAAAGTTTCCCAATAGAGAAATAGTTTTGTGCGCGCTCTTCACTTTCCATCCAAACTCATTCCCGTCGTCGACAACATCAACGGAATAACTAAAAAATAAAATAAAACTCTTTTCATTATTATTTATAGAAATTTGGTTCGAAAACGAAAAGAGAGAGAAAAATCAATATTCGTGCAACGTCTTCGACAACAAATAAAACGAAAAAGCACGCAAGAGATACGTGAAGTATATTTGTAACGAACGCAAGAAAACCGTAAACCAAGTCTAATTGCGCTAGTTAATAATGCAATGTAGGTTATAAGCGCGTTAATATGAAAATAAGTTGGGGAATCGAACAAAAAAAAACTTGCGTTTATCGCGTGGTTTTATTGCCTAATAATAATAATAATAACGACGAGATAAATAAAATCCGCACCATTTCTCCTCCTATTGAATAATATTTTCTAATCAATAAATTGCGATAATTAGCGCACTCCTTCTTTAATCTCACAAAGTTTCTTCGATAACGCTAAATTTTGTTATAAATATTATTACGCTTAGATTTAGTATTTGTTCGCAATTTAAATTATTTGTTTATTTAATTCCTTAAGGTTATTATTTCAAAAGATTTATCCTCTTCAGTGCAGATTCAACTAAATATTGAAGATAATGATATGTTTGCTATCATTTCATTAGCAAATTAGTCTTATCTTATTGACTACAAATTTAGTTTGGGATAAACATATAACTGGTTCTTGGTTGACTTTGCAAAAGTGGTGTTATCGTTTTTAAGATTACCTCAAGTTTTACAAACAATTTACTCGTATGTTCTTGTTCTTCAGCATCACGATGAAATAATCGTTATAAATTGATTATTAACTTGAAATATTCGCGTTTTCAGATTGTTCCGTACGACGGAATAAAGACGACACCTAGGAAATCGCACGAGGGTCAAGCTAGGGCGAAATACAACTTCATAGCGCAGACCCACTTGGAGTTGTCCCTGGCAAAGGGCGAGCTCGTCGTGATCACGAGACGCGTCGACGATAACTGGTTCGAAGGCAAAATAGGTGGACGCAAGGGCATCTTTCCAGTGTCCTACGTGGAAGTGCTGATAGACCCGAGCGATCCACCGCAAGCTCCCACCAAGCCGGTGGCATCACCTGCAGCTCACTCCATGCTGCTGAACGGATCGTCAGGAGGCAAAGAGTCGATGGGTACGCACAGCTACGTGCCGACGTTCCCCACGCAGGACCTGGGGATGAGTTACAGAGCGAAACCGGTGCAGGTATCCGGCTACAGCTCTCTGAAGAGGAACCCGGTGGAAGATCCTCTGCACATCGAGACTCATTCGGAACCGATACCGTAATAAATATTCCACAATTACAACAACTGAATCTTAATATATGATGTTTCATACTTACAGTTACCGCGCTCTGTACAAGTACAAGCCGCAAAACGAGGACGAGCTGGAGCTGCTCGAAGGAGACACAGTGTACGTCCTGGAGAAATGCGACGACGGCTGGTACGTCGGCTCCAGCGACAGGACCGGAGCCTTCGGCACCTTCCCCGGCAACTACGTGGACCGCATCTAGCCCAGCATCCCCGTATACTTGGTCTGAAGATGCTAAATCTGCAGACTCTCCAAAACCCAAAAAAACGCACCATTTGCATTGCGCAACCGGATTCCAATCTGAAAAACAAACAAAAACACACAACATAGCTAACTATGAAAGAAATATCATTGCCAATATTTGATACACCTAACATATGTAATCTACATAACTATAAATAAGCGTTGAATCTAAGCTTGTAGTAAGTATGAGACGCCTGAAAGAAGAGGAAAGCAATTTACAAGTTTACATTTATACACACACACACACAGATACATACACAGACATATGTACACGCGCCACAAACACACATTTGTTTTAGTTTCGTAAGCATCTAGTCACTAGCCAAATAATAATACGAAAAATAAAAGAAGAAGAAGAAGAAAGAAATATATATGTATATGTACGTTAAGGTCTATTAAGATAGTTGGAAATGTCCGGGTTTCGTTTTCACCACTCTGCATCATTCTCTTTACCTGCAGAAAACAAAAAATGAAACAAATGAAACCAAAAACAAAGCAGAATCGACGATGGAGAGAAGGACTTGCAGAATCACGATGGCTGCTAAACAAAATATGTTTACAATAAGTAACAACAAGATTTTTATCGCGCCTAAAGTAGAAGAAGAAAAAAAAAACCTCCAATTTGTATATTCTATACACATTGTAATAAGGATATTTATAATCTCATTGTTATTCTTAACTATATAACTACTACTATTACAATTATATAGACTAAGCGAATATATGTATATGTATAAATAAGAGAAAAAAAAAACTTGTTCTTCCAGGATGACGTATATATATATGCATGTGCATATACGTGTATGTAATAACATTTAGACACATGAGTTGAGTTTAACTAATTTCTAACATATCCACACCGTGTATTGTTATCAGGGCCAAAAAAAAAAAAAAAAGTTGTCGAGAGGCTTTGATTTCTTCTAATTTCATTACTTTAGTCAATAATTAACAATTTGTTCCGTTCTCATGTTGTGCGAAAAAAAGATGAAAAAAATCCACACAATTTGTTATAATAATTATAAATTTCTTTTGAATATATACACTATAATCTCTGGTCTAGAGTAAAAAAAGACGAAGAGCGACAGCAGCAACAAAACCAAACAACAAAGAGACTTTGGAATAGGAGTGCCTTTATATAATGATTACTGTAATAATGATAACTATTGCATTTCGTTTGAACAAAAAGAAAAAAAAATATTATATGAATTATTATTATTATTATTATTACTATATAGATATATTGAAAAATTTGTTTCCTCGTTTCTCTCTTGTTATTTTATTTTTATTTCTCTCTCTTTTTTTGATGGATGATTATTGAAAATAAAATCGATGTTTTATTACAAAAACATGCTAACTACCACCTTTCAAGTCCAGCAAGACGGCAAAAGTAAAAAGGTCTTTAACACCGTCTTCCTTAATCTCATCGTCTTCCTCGTGCGACTCTCCGCCACCTTCCTATAAATACTTATCGAATTCTATTTTCAGAACGTCTCTTTCCGAGAAACTTAATTTACTTCCACACTTCGTACACAATTCAAACTGCACTCTCATTATTATTATATATATTGTAACGTGGTAAAATAGACTACGCTCCACGATGCAACTATACTTCCAAAATTTGGGTAGACCGCAGCGAACCTAAAGACGGAAAGAAGACGGTTGAGGTCACCAGTTAAGAAGAAATTATAGATATATTTGTAAGATCCAAGAGGACGGTGTTGGTGCTCTAGAGGAGCCAAGGCCCACCGTCGGAGAAGAAGTGTGAGAAAGCAGTTGTAAGAGTTCTTCCTCTCGATAAAAGGAAGTGGAGCCCTGAACCTGAACTCTCGTAGAAGATTTTGTATAATCTTGTTTTTTTTTTTTGTACACGAGCACTGACGTGTTACAATATACATACATCGTAGTATGTAAATTGTCCATCATTGACGCGAATCGATCGATATGCACAATAATTTATCATTAAAAACAAACAAATTAAATAATTACAATTTTGATCATACGTTTACGAACCGTACTGCTCTCGGAAATCAATATAAATTTTAACAACTTTATCATCATCAACTCTCAGCAATTCAATTACAGAGATTACATTTTCAAAGATGACTTGAATTTTCCAAAATACAGTTCGATTCAAGCGAATTGGAAATGTTTTCCATTTGTTTTGTTTTCAACTTCATCCCGCGAGGATCGGTTCTACATCCAAATAGTGGATTTATGGAAAAAATACTGAACAAATTCTCTCAGCAATTCAATTACAGAGATTACATTTTCAAAGATGACTTGGATTTTCCAAAATAAAATTCGATTCAATCGAATTGGAAATGTTTTCCATTTGTTTTGTTTTCAACGTCATCCCGCGAGGATCGGTTCTACGTCCAAATAGTGGATTTATGAAAAAAATAGTGAACAAATTCTCTCAGCAATTCAATTTCAGAGATTTCATTTTCAAAGATGACTTGCTGGGATTTTTTTGGGATTTTCCAAAATACAGTTCGATACAATCGAATTGGAAATGTTTTCCATTTGATTTGTTTTCAACATCATCCCGCGAGGATCGGTTCTAGGTCCAAATAGTGGATTTATGAATAAAATACTGAACAAATTCTCTCAGCAATTCAATTACAGAGATTATATTTTCAAAGATGACTTGGCTCAACGTGTTGGGATTTTCCAAAATACAGTTCGATTCAATCGAATTGGAAATGTTTTCCATTTGTTTTCAGCGTCATCCCGGTTCTACGTCCATATAGTGGATTTATGAAAAAAAAAATACTGAACAAATTCTCTCAGCAATTCAATTACAGATATTACATTTTCAAAGATGACTTGCTGGTATTTGTTGGGATTTTCCAAAATACAGTTCGATACAATCGAATTGGAAATGTTTTCCATTTGTTTTGTTTTCAACGTCATCCCTCGAGGATCGGTTCTACGTCCAAATAGTGGATTTATGAAAAAAATAGTGAACAAATTCTCTCAGCAATTCAATTACAGATATTACATTTTCAAAGATGACTTACTGGGATTTGTTGGGATTTTCCAAAATACAGTTCGATCCAATCGAATTGGAAATGTTTTCCATTTGTTTTGTTTTCAACGTCATCCCGCGAGGATCGGTTCTACGTCCAAATAGTGGATTTATAAAAAAAAAATAAAATAGTGAACAAATTCTCTTACCCAAGCATTTATCGACGTTTTTTTTTCTGACCAGATCGTCTCGAAAAGCAACAAGAAACGGAAGCGTTTTCAAGTTGCGATTGTGCAACACAAATGTTTACACCAATCGCACGGTCGAATTTCGCCGCCGCCTCTCGTGATGCAATTGTTATCTTCGTTGCGTCCCAAACGCGACGGGAATTGCACAGCTTTCCAAGAGAGTTGTTAATCTCTAACTCTTCGGTTCTGCGAAACCGATTTGGAACGTGCGTTCGCATCTCCGTTTTTCACTTCCAGTCTATACAAAACAAAATAAGACAAATTAAAAGATAAATAATTGTAATAATGAAGAAACATTGTCGTAAATTGAAACCCCATTCTTTTTTTTTTGTGAAGAGCAAAATGTAATATTTCCTAGTTCTGTTTTGTTATAGTAACTATAGTTACATCAAAATTATAAGTAATGGTAACAATATCAATAGTACTTCGTGTTTTTGATTATTTGCAAAAGAGATGTTAAAAATGAAGGCAAACGATTTAGTTGAAGTCGTCTTGCATATTTTTTTTTGTTTGTGGGAAATACGAAACCGGGCTAATAAACATGTAATACGTATGTAATATCGACGGTGCAATGACGAGCAGAAGACGTAATCGGAGAAGAGCGAGGTTATCGCTGCAATTTATTCGTTTCTCTCTCTCTTTCTCTTAAAGTTAATTATCGCGTGCGCCGAAAACAAAATGTACGTGTGTCGTGCGAGAGCGATAGATGAGCACGCGTTGCATAACAATTGAATGCATTGTTGAACAGAAGAAGACAGGGCGCCAACGGCACGACAATGCCCATCCATTATTGTGCTGCTGCTGCTGCGATCAAGATTTGCGAATCTTCCTGACACATTTTTTTCCCCTTATCTACCGTATTATTCGCTTAACGCAAAGATTGTTAGAATTCTGCACGAATCAGCTAAACTCGATCCGCAAAGAATTCCATACTACTATATAGCTACTACTACTAATTCGCCGAATCCGGGACACCGTGACTCATGATGCGATTGCGAGGGTTGGTAAACTATGGTACTTGGCGTGATTCCTCTTACCAAATACGTAAGCCCGAGAGGATCAGTTCATTCACTTATCACCGACTATGATAACCTCTCCCTAAGACTTATCATCTCGGATTCACGAGAGAGCAAACAAACAAAAAATTACCAAGTACATGAATATAACCCAGTTGCGGCCAACTCCAAATTGAATCTGTTCATTCTTGTAAGAATTGCAAATTAAAATCGTTTCTTATCAAACGGTTACGCAACGATCCTTCCCTTCCTTACATTTCATTTCAATGATGTACAATGTCAAGAAACAACGTGCAACAAACAAACAGAGAGAAAAGAAAAAAAAATGTATAAACCCGCTGCTATCAAAAGTGTTACAAAATTCTGACCCCCGTCGGATATTATTGTCCGAGACTGGGATAATATTCACATGCTAATTGGTTGCGTCGTTAACGTTTCTCTCTCTCTCGCTTTTCATTTGGCATATTATTTTGTATATGTATAAGAGAGACCCTGAGGTCAAAATTTTAAAAATATCTTTTGCAAAGAAAAAAAAAACATTGAAGAGAAAACGTAAAGATGAAAACTGGGCAGGCTCCAGATCGCTCCACCGGATAATCGCAAGGATTATGCATGCGCTACATATGAGGGTTTGGGGTGGGGGAACCGTTTGATAAGAGTATTTGAGCCTTTGCATGAAGAACCAGTTTACTTGCAATTTCCTCTGTGAACACTGCATCCACCAATTCGTCTCTACGTCCATCTCAATCCAGTGCTTGTGATTTGCGTTTTCACCATATTCATAGGTAACTATCACCCGCTTTACTACAAAACAACATTAAAAGGTTGTAACTTTCTTTCATTTACTTACTCTAAACCAACAAATGTTCTCTCAATCGCGTAGATTTTCAAAGAGTTTCCACAACTCAAAGCAATACATTTTTTTTTATTGCAGCTTCACGTATTTTTGCAGTAAAAAGTTTGAAAAAGCTGCAACAAAAATTTAAAATTAGTTTTAAAAATTCTGTTATTTTTTCATAATTTGTCAATAGAAACTAATATAATTAAGTATTTGTGATACTTATTAGAAACATTTAGCAAATGTTATAATTATTATTTATAATAAAACAAATTTCAAATACTTTTTAGTCTGAAATACTTTTGAAAATATTCATTGGTACCAAAAACTAAAAATCCAATAAAATGTATACTTTTTTTCTGCAACTCGGATTTCAACTTCAAAACTAATAAATGAAAGAGTAAAAAGTAGTTAAACTTTGAACGAGTTAAGAAATCGTGTCTTCAGAAATGGAATCAGATCTCAAGTATACTTAAGTCACTAAAAGTGTATTAAAATAATTTTGCAGCCAATGAAATTTCAGGTAAAATTGAATTCTAAATATAAATTCAAACATTTTCTTAAATTTTAAATGTAAATCCGAAGATTTCATCTGATGCAATAATTACAAAAGTTGAACCGATTTAGATTTTTCAGTGATGCAGTGATTATTGAAATTCCAAATCGATCGTTTCAAAACACTAACCTTGCATAATAGAAAAATATAAAAAAAAAATATAAGAGTTAAACTTATCAACTTTTCGGGTTAAATTGCTGACATCGAATCGAACTATGCTGAAGTAAACTAATTAGTACGTGGCATCGTCAAGTTCGGTAATCTTGTTGCTAGGCGATTATGTAACTATAACAACAACAACATCAACAACAACAAAAATCGCATGATCTATTTGTGTATGCGCACCCGGGATTGTTTAAAGCTTTATCTTTTGCTTGCGTATGTCGATGGATCAACAACGTTCACTTTTACGTATTATTATCGAGAAGCATCATCACGAAAAGAATCGATAAGAGCGAGGACGTTGCGAAAAACAGGCTACTCACAATTTTCGTGATTCTTTCGTTTCCATTGTCAATTTTTCAAACTATCGTTTAACAAACGTTTGCAAACGTCGTTTTTCGATGAATGCAAAAAGAGCTTCCCACACGCGGTTCTCCTTTCGTCGACTGCGATCGATCTGCAAAGGAAATGCGGCGATAATCACGTACGGCAACGTAGAATAACAATAAACAAAAGGGGATGGCAATATTTACATGATGGATTCGAGGTGTTGTTGTATAATGGGGAGTCGCGCTGTTATCGTGCTGGATGTGGAAACACGAAGTTTTTTTTTATTCCCCATGGTAATCGGAGCAGTGCCGATTTCACATCCTTGACACTTACACTTCCTCGGCTATTTCTGAAAACAAGAAACCTCTTATCGCTTCTTTTTGTCTCAATTTTCTTCTCGAATCATCGCTTGTCGATTCCTTTCTTTCCTTTTTCGGTCTTCCATTGACGCGCGCGATTTTATGTAACACCGGCCGGCGATAAAAAGAAGACAAGAAATTGCTGCCCCGGGTGGCGCAACTTTCGGATAAACGACCGGCAAGGCTTGCTAATTGTTCGCCGGACCGATGGGCCGATACCAGACGTGTAATTGATTCGGTGTCTCGTCAAGAGTCCAAAAGCCTTTTCGTTTCTTCTCTTTTTTTCGCTGCTTCTCTCTTTGCGCCTTCTTTTTTACGCGTCTCGATAATTTTGGTCGTAAAGTTCAAGGATCGCGCGCAAATGCCTTCCTTATATTCCTTCACGTCTATAGCCACGCACTTCTTTGATGACCTACGAAAAATCTACAAGATTATTCAAAGATTATACATTTTCATTATTTAAATACGAACCTATGTAATCGAAACGAAAGACTTCATTCTTCATTGAAAACTCAATTATTTTCATCGTCTGGTTAAATTACCAACGTAAATCCTTCCTGTAAAAGAAGAGATTTAAATGCATCACAAAACCTTCAGTTAATTTGCAATCTAAAAACGACCGACGTCAATTACTTTTTAGCAGTGAAGCAAGAATGAAAACCAAAAAAGTTAAAACAAGATTTAAATGCATTACGAAACCTCTAGGTAATTTGCAAAAACTAAAAACTGCAGAATTCAATTTTCGTTAAGTAAAAATATGATTTAGAAATCAAGAATCAAAAACGAGAGTTAAAATCATTTGTAAATCCGGTCGTAAGTCCAACTGATTAACAAATAATATGCGCGCCAAAATAAAACGCGATTCTCCGAAATTTCCTGTGTGCTAATAATTAATCATAACATAAAAATGATTACCCATATTTCCGATTTGAAAATTACGTTGTGAAGTATATACCATTGAGTTCCCTCCTAAAGGTCGAGGGATCCAGTTTTCTTTGGGGTGGTCCTATTCATAGATTCTACTCTATTTTTAAGTCACCCTTTGTTCACTTCACAAAGAAAGAAACGAACGTCTCCCTTGCCATTTACCAGATTTCCGTATAGAATGATGAAACCCCTTCGTCCTTTTTCATCATTTCTAAACGAATTTCCAAAGAAACGTTCAAACATTTTGCATTTCCAACATATTCCTTAGACTTCACGAAATTCGGTATCTTTCTCTTTCTCTCTGCACTGCAACTGGGTCAGAGTGTCATCCTGTCTGCGATAGTTCCGCAACGGCCGATGATTTGTAATGATTGATTGACTAACGTCCAATTTAACAATCATTTCTCCTCCATCGTTATTCTACAAAAAAGAAAAATAATAATAGAAGAAAATATAAGAAATTCCATAATGCAAGAGTTAAAAAAACTTATTTAAGAGTTTGTACAATTGTTAATAGGAAAACCTTTTGAGCGATTTCAATAAAATGTAAAAAAATGTGTAAAATTTTCAAATTTAAACAGATTACGTTGATGCTTCAGTGTTTGAAAAGTAAAGTTTGAGATTACTTTTTAAACTCTATCCAAATCTGAGGGATTCGTTTTTTTTTAAATTTCAGTATTTGAGTTAGGTTTTTGAATTGCAATTGAACTTTGTTGGTTTACTGTGTTGAATTTCATACGGAAGATCGTGGATGGCGTCCATTTTGAAGCTCATTTGTTTGATTTTCTCGTTTTTCTATTTAGATTTCCCGCCGCACGAGAACCGTGCGTAGCTTTGATCGGTCGCCGAGCCAATAGCAGTATCCAATCGGGTCACGTGTCCGCAGCGAAGTTATAAAAGTAGGGGGCCGTAGATCTGAAGCCTCTTTTCCAGTCACCCGTGCGTCGTCGAGTCCCGACGATAACACTAAAATAAAAAAAAAAGAACTACTACATTCAGTGCGCGAAGTGTGCAGGCCGCAAGAAACCAATCCGAATTAAGGACAGGAGAACTAAAGTACTACTACTTACTTGCAACACTCACGAGAGAAGATGCCGCAAACTGTGACCAACGGATACCCGAACGGACACATGTCCTACGACATGGAGGACGGATCCAACTTCCTCTTCACCTCCGAATCCGTCGGAGAGGGACATCCAGGTAACACCCCCATTGTTTGTTTTTGTTGTCATGAAACCCTCTCACTACAATCCTCTCTTTTGTTTTTATTGGTTTCGACACCCTGATTTGAGGAAGGGCTGTTGACATCTCCTCCACCACCTCCTCCTGGTGTGCGGCTCACGAACCCCACACACGTTTTCGGCGCCATTTCCGCAGATTTCGTAATAACCCAAAAATATACTCAAGACCGGCGAACACGTGCTCGCACTTCCTCCTACTCCTCCACCACAACGCACGTTCTCTCGCTCACCTCTCTTCATCTTATAAAACATCCTCTTCATCTGCATTCGACAACGTAATCGACGGCATTCCACATTCAAATCGATCGATAACAGCAGCAAATCCGCAACGCACTTTCCCACACAAACACATGCAACAACAACAACGCAATTGTTTGTTTATGTTTGTCTGTTTCTTTTTGTTTTTTTCTCATAGCCTCCCTCGTGGTACTAGCACGTTGTCAAGCACGTTAACCTATTCCAATTTGAACTCTAGCGTTTCGGCAACCCTTGCATCTGAATGCTGACCTCCATCACATGCAACCACATTAACAAACAAACCTTCGCTCAATTGTATTGACAACCCTTTTCTCTGATCTAAATATTTACCCTTGTCGCAACCAAACTTGCACCAGCTGATAACACGACTCGTAGGCAATTTATTGAGCGTCCTTGGATGTACCAAAGTTCAGATCATGTTTGAACTTGATTTTCGTGTAATTCCTATTCCACTTTACATCATCACTCTTTCATTCATCACAATCATTATCTTTTATTTCATCATAATTCAATTTGCAATAAACAACAATGTTAATATAATTGCCTATCTAATAATAATAATTCGAAAATTTAAATATTTAATTACCAATTATATTTCATGACGCCGATCATAATTTAAAATTCAATTTGAATTCGTGAATCTGATTAGAATTTAATATTTGATAAAATTAAGTTTTATCAATTTTCCCAACTAATTTGTCATCTTTATTTTTCAAAAATTATAGCTTGAAATAATTGTCTTTTTGCTCTAATTGATTGACTTACTCATCAATTGTAAATTTGCTCATGTTTTTATTTTATCAACTACGGTTGTCAAAGCAACCTAGCAACCAAACTTGCATTATTTGATAACAGGATAGGCAAAACTGTGTGTGTCCTTGATTTTGGACCAAAGTTCAAATATTATCTGAACTTGATGATTTCCTAATATTTCCTCAAAATATCACCTTGAATCAAGTTCATTCACTTAAATGATGAATTTCGTCATAAAGTTATAATTTCATAATTTAATTAATTGAAAATTTTGCACAATTGTACAATATTATTTCATAACAACTCAATAAATTTATCTGTTATTTTAGTTGATGTTAACATTTGTTTTCTCAATTAATTAATTAATTTAATTGGACAATTTCATCATTCGCATAATAATTTCGCAACGTACTACACACAGATTATCTATTATTTTAATTGATCATCGTCATGGCAACATATCTTGTGCGTACTTTCCGTTGTTTATGCATTGCTTAGCAACTTACGAAATAGTTGATATTATTATTTTTCGTTTGCTTTCTGTGACGCATATTGAATATATGTTATATAATAAATTGATAATTTTGCATATATTATTTAATCAGCAAATGAAATTATCTTGTTCGAAACGAAAAAAAAAATATATATAATTTCGAACTTGTGAGTGAGATTTTTCTTTCTTTCCTTCTTTGGAAATTCCTCAGAGGAGAAAGAACATCTGCCTCTCCCTTTGAG